GGACGATAGTGCATGCGGCCCTAAGACACCCGGTGGTCTATAGATTCCACAGGTGACAACAGTAGCATAAGGCCACTTAGAAGCAGGGGAGTCAGCGGCATACGTCAGCACCGATTCTCCAAGCTTTACAGCAGATATGTTTTTCGATGATACCCTACTTGGTAGGAGCTATGCAAACATGCATCTAGAGCTATTCGGTAAACCTTGCGGTTAGAATCAGTGCCTAAATTCAGCAAAGTACATAGGCGCGGCAAAAGAAGAAATTAAGAGTAAGTGCAGATAAACGATTAACAAATACCCTAATAAAATTCTAAGAACAAATGGACTAAAGAACATACAGTAATATTACAACGATGACAGACAGCGTCAAACTTAAGTCATACAAATCAGTGTGAAATCCATTTGAATAGGCCATAAAAGAATATAACAGATACAAAAAACGAGCAAAAAACATAACGCAAAGCACGCATAATTAAGAAGTGGATAGAATGCATAGGCGGCTAGGACAATGATTTTGTGGATTTATACATTAAGCGTCTTACTGCGTGCTACTGGGAGAGTTTGATGCTGACTGCTGTGATGCGAGCATTGAGCTCGCCCAATGCTCCAGATACGTGCCTTTCTCTTGCGCCTTAAACAGTAACTTCCACAAGTTGTATCAACCTTACCAGCCAATCAAAATCAACTGACTCATTGTGCTACTATAAATGGTAAAATGTTCCCATTTTATATGCTAAACTGAATGTCGTTTGTTTATCTCTCTGTATTGCGCGATAGCTGGCTTACCCGGCTCCGCCCGGCCCTGTAAAAACACTGTTATAAAGGTCCCATCCTTATCCCTGTACAGCCTTCCCCGTGCCCACTTCTACACTTCATCTCCCGTTCCCTTGTTGTTTTCGAAATCAGCATGCCCACTTACTCCCCTGTGCCAACTCCCAGCCCTTCGGCTCAAATTTCGAAAAAATCGATAAAATCGATAAAAGTAATAGGTAATACCAAAAACTAATATTGTATACGTAATCAGCATGCTTGATTACCCCGTGTGCCAACCCCCAGCCTCGCAGGTGAACTCTGCAAAAAATTGATAAAATCGATAAAAGTAATCGATAATTCTGAAAAATAGTATTGTATTCGGAATCGCCATGCTCACTTACCCCCCCCCCCTGTGCCAACCCCCAGCCCCGTAGGTGAACTCTGCAAAAAAACCCGACAAAAATCGATAAGATCGATGACGATCGATAACGAAAAGTAGCCTATGACACGCTCCCTGCCCCGAAGTATATGATGCCAAGTTTGGCCCAAATCGGTTCAGAAATAAAAATTCTATTTCGCACATACGTACACATAGACATACAGACAGACAGACAGACATTCAGCTTTATATATAAGATGTATGTTTGTACGATTTTCCGCAAACTTTGAGTCAAATGGTTGGGAGCTGACACAGGGCTAAGGTAGCATGCCTGATTACGAACACGAGCTTTCAGAATTATCGATTACCTTCATCGAATTAATTGATCTTTCGCGAACTTTGAATTACAGCGATGGATGTTGGCGCAAGGGGAAGGGTAGCTCATGGGCCAGGAGTTATTAGAGGGGAGGGGGGCATCTGAACATGATGGTAACGAAAGAATAATCGATATGGAAAACCTCTGCATTAATAGGTTTTAACAGTTGGCATCTTATGGGGTAGGTGTTGATTATGAATACACACAAAAGAATTGGTATATGAAAGGACAGAGACAGGGAATGTTGTTGGCAGGGAATAATGATCTTTACAATACCGCTCACAGAATGTGCAAAATTTCCGTGAATGTCGCAGAATTCCAGGAATTCCGCGAAGGCTCGCGAAATTTTGGAAATTTCGCGAAATTCCTGGAATTCCGCGAAATTCCGGAAAGTTCGCGAAATTCATGCGAATCGCGCAAATTACGCAGGGCCATAACTTCTTTCCGAATGAGTATTTCGAAATCCGAAAACAGCATTGTATTCAGCTCGTCAAGGCGAATCTTTTGGTGTACAGGTTGTGTCCAATACCTTGTTTTCAATAATCTTGAATTTGCACGCGGACGCCTCTTCGCATGGTGGTAACGCAACGAGCATCACATAGGAGACTGCCGTGGGCACCATGCGATAGTGCTCATTCACTAGATTATCGTGCGCTAAACAGCAGCCGAAGAATTTTTTGTGTTTTGTGTTTGTTTTGTGTTTTTTGTGTTTGTACCAATTTTGTGTTCACTTCGCTTAAAGAATCTATCCTGCTGTACTGGAAGTAATTAAATTGATCTGAGCTCTAGCCACGAATCTGCTGATATTCACCTAAGGGCTCAGGCGCACACAACCACCAGATCCAATACAATAAGACCTCAAATATCTTTTGAGTTGAACATAAAATTCGCGACCGCAGTGTCTTACAGTCACTTAGGTAGAATTTCTACGAAGCAGGCGATCTTTACAGTTGGGCAAAACTCACTCTGAGGACGTGATTTCGTAGCCCCCTAACTCGGCGACTGCTACAGATTGAATCCGAATGCATGCACTGTTGAATAGCACGCTTTCTAGTGAATTTAACCTGCAAGGGCAAGCAAGCAGATTTTCTGAGAGGTGCTCGTAAAATGCACGAATCTACGAACTTGCGTGGCTTAGCTAAAGTTCCCTCACCATATCTCTGCTAGAAAACTCTGCACTCCGCGCAAAAGACGATCGTAAACAGCGTGTTTGTCTTTGAGCGAAGTTTCCTTACAATTCGAGATCATCGGCATTTTGACCAAAACCCATCAGCGAGCTTCAAGGCGTAGAACGAGAAAAAATCAATCACCCGAATTTCTTTGAAAACTTGCTCATAGAGGTTATCTCACCTGCTGATTATGAAAATCACATCTGCTTAGCAGTAGAGCTTCTCATTTTAGGGTCATGGTGGGCAAACTTTGAAACAACGCGATTTTTCCAGAATTCACCAGCTCTTCTCTCTTTTTTCAAAAAGATTCTCCGGTTTCTTTTTAGCGCTCGATAATCTGCGAAAGCAGCACAATCCAACAGTGCTTATTGGAGTCTTTTATGTTTGATGTGCGCTGCGTTGCTACCTTGCGAATATACGCGCGCAGAAATTTTTGAGAAAATTGAAAACGGAATTTCAAGGACAAGCTGTAAACCGGAAGATTCGCCTTGACGAGCTGAACACAATGCTGTTTTCGGAATTCTAATGTGTTCTTTCTGAAGGAAGTTACGGCTAGTAGAACTTAAAAAACAGCTTGATTTTTTCCAGAGTTTATCACCTCTTCTATCTCTTCTGAAACAGAGTCTTCGCTGCTGTTTAGCGCACGACAACATAGTGAAAGAGCACTATCGCATGGTGCCCACGACAGTCTCCTATGTGTGATGCTTGTTGCGTTAAATACAATGCTGTTTTCGGATTTCGAATATACTCATTCGTAAAGAAGTTATGGCCCTGCGTAATTTGCGCGATTCACATGAATTTCGCTAACTTTCCGGAATTTCGCGGATTCCAGGAATTTCGCGAACCTTCGCGGAATTCCTGGAATTCTGCGACATTCACGGAAATTTTACGCATTCTGTGAGCGGTATTATATATATACAGGGTGGGGCAAAAGTCTGGGAGCCCAGTACTTTTTCGTACAAAACGAGAAGGGAAGTACCTAGAAACGAGAAATTTGGCGCACACATAATTCGAACCGTTGCAGATACAGCTCAGTTCTTGAATTGCAAAACTGCCTCTTTTGGCTTCCACGAGTACTCTGCGTTGATACCACTGCTTACCTGTCAGTACTCTGCGTTGATACCACTGCTT